CCCTACGGTTTAGTGAATAAACAAAGAAAGTGCCTGCTTTATTGGGTTGTGGGTTTTGGTTTTTTCTAAATTGGAGAAAGAAACAAGAAGAAGCAAAGAAGATAAAACTGTATCAGCCTCCCCAAATCAGTGTCTATATAAACATCTACATATGCATGCAAATAAATAACCCAAACATATCCTCTTCTCTGAATCAGGCAGTAATCACCCCTGTGCTGAAAGCTGATTTGACTGCAAGTACTTACAGTTACTACAAGAGCACAAACAGGTTTACTCTTTCTTCATGACTAGCAGCAGTTTGTCAAGATGCAAAGAAAAGCCTTCATTGCTTTTTAAAGATATTTGAAAAGCGGTGCATCTCCTTTGCCAAAAGGACACAGTGAAGACGTTGCTCTGTTCAGATAAAAGGATTCTGGGATACACATTATCAGCACTCAGCCTAATGTGACAGTTCTGGATGAGTGCCAGCTGAGAAATGCAGCACAAGGCACCAGCCCAGATGCACTTTATTAATACTATTATTATTACTGAGGACTCCTTAGAGATGTGGGTTTCTTGTTTTGGGGAGGGGAGTGGGGAAGGGATGGTGTCCTTTTTTCTCCCCTCCACGTTTCACTTACATTACTACTCTAATGCCTACTGTAGTATCTGGAAAAAACTACAGGAGCAAATTCACTGCCTCCATGGGAGCTTATACCATGATGGATTTAATGATTCCATAAACCAGGTCTGTACGTCTATCAAACTCCCTGGGGCAGCCAAAGAAACCAACCACTGACCTACTCCACTTCAGGCTGACTGGGCTACTTGTAGCTTCTCTCTTTCACGGCTGCAGTTGTCAAGTGTACCACAGAGCAATAAAAAGGCCATGACAGATTTAACTATAATACTTCTTTTTAGCTGAGGGGCATATTTTAAACACCTGATGGGCTTGAAATCTGCCATCTGGATCCTTCTATCTAATTTCAGAGAAAAAGCAATGATCTCCTGGCCCTCCAAGGATAAATTCAGAGCAAACTACACCTTTTCATATCCCTACAATAATTTAACTTCAATAAAATAGCTTTTTAAAGGGGAAAACCGAACACGCATCAAAGCATGATATATCTGTATAATTTCAGCCAGTGCACAGCCTCACAGTTCCATTCTGTAATATGGAAAAGCTTCTCTCAACCACAGTTCTTTCAGAGGAATTTACATTTATCTAAATCATCAGTTAAAAATATATTTTTGTACTCCACTGCTTTCAAAACCTGTCACCTGAACACATACTGTCTAACACATTTGCAAAAATGTATTGTTTTCAAATTGGTGTCTGTTCTCTCTATCAGTTAACAGTATGCCATTTCTTGCAGGTAATGAAAAAGAGTACCTTATAAACTGTGAATAGGAAAGCCACATTCTGGCAATGATATCTCTATTTTTTTTTTTAAATTACAGTTTTAGTAAGTAAAATGAATATGCATTTTTATATGTATGCACATGTTTGTGTGCGTGTGCTTTTTTTTAACCATGCAGGTGACAGGCAATGCCGTTTTCTCAAGGGATTCTCAAGATTACCTCTTATATCAGCCTGTGCCTTCACAATAATGCTCAATTACGGTTTTGTGACAGAAACTATATGCTTTCAGAACTATACTTATGCAATTGTAGCCATTCAGGATCGGAGTGGTCTCCTTAACATTAGACTTTACAACACAAATAACCTTATGTGAACTGCTTCTCCATGTTCTCTTTAAGTCAATGGAGAGAAATAGGAACTTCTCGAGTTCAATCCATCTGGCCTCTTTGGGCCCAAGGTACACTGGAACGAGATGGATCACGCTCCAGAACAGCTATTTCTTTCGTTTAACCAAGAGGCGAGTCTAGACAGACATTTCCAGGCAGTGTCTGTACTGTAAATAGCTGAATTTGAAGGGAAGAATCTGACTGCAGTCTACGATAATGGAGATGATAAATACAGAGACAGACAACCAAATTTGTGATCACACCTTAAATCCGCGTTAGCAATGAAATCAAACTTGTAATCTGCACCAGTGAGCTGTTCTACACAATACTGCACACAAAGAGCTCATCTGACTCCCTTTTGGCAAAGTCCCCTGCTGTATTCTTGTTAAACAAACAAAACCACAACACAGCCTTCCTCTTTGATCACTGGTATTTTAGCAGATTCATTCTTATTTCTGCTTCCCTAAGAGGTGAAGCAGTTGAGTGCCTTCATTTGCCCTAGAACACCCTTGCCCGTCAAACACCTGGAAAGTAAGAAACAAGCACTGCCTGCAAAGCAGGTCTGAGGGTGAAGCACACAACCAAGTCCTTTTTACCCCAGTGTCCTTCTCTCCCCACTCCCCTGCTCTCTCAGTATTTCCATTCTACAGTCATTTGCTGTAGCCAGGAAGTGTTTACATTTACGCATCTGAAACAGGAAGAAGATGGTGCCTATTTTAGGTGATCTAAACGGGCCTTTAGCCGATGTTGCTGGCACAGCAGTGAACCTGCTCCAGGGAGAACATGTACCAAAGCATTTTATCAGGCACCTCTGAATGAAGTCTCTTCACTCCATATAGCAACAGTAATACTGAAAAGAGGTTATTAGCCAACTAAGAAGCAGAAAGCAGGTATTTATTATCCCTCTTGTAGTATCTTAAAGAAGTCAGTAATAAAAACCTCAGCATGTGTGCTGAAGAGATATAGAACTAATTTTCATTTTCCAAAAGAGACTATACCATCTCCCGCAATGCTCTTGGAGAGAACTGAGGCCATTCTCATTTCTCTGGCTACAAGGCAGCGTGTTGTATTTACCTTCTCTAAGAGGAAACATGAAAGCTTCTAACCTGAACAGAAAGGCAAGGGATGGTCATGAGTAACTCACAAAAAAATTCATCAGCTCAGGCTCCTCAACGCTATTCAAGGAAACACTTCAGAAACACACTTCCAAGAATTTTAAACCACATCCAAGGAGAAAACACTTAACATTTACAGGCTGAAAACCCCTATTAGCAGCGTAATGTCACATATTAGAGTGAAACAAAAGTTCCACTTCAAATAAAAGCATTTATCAATCTTAGCCACCTACATAAGTTGAGGAGCACAACATGTAAACGGAAGGTGGGATCCTCTAACAGATATATTTGTAGAGCTTGGCAGGAATAGCAGATCTCCTGTTGACTGCATTTAAGGCTTAGTAAGTTTGTTCCTTTTTCCAGCCCTGTTCATAATAGAAAGTTTGCTTTCCTGAACTCTCTGGTAATGCTACTGATGTACTTTTCCTTTTCTCAGTTAGGTCTTCATCCTGTTCTGTCAGAGCCTCATCTGGACTCCCATGTCCTTCTGGAAACCCGTGGTAACCAGATCTTTATATAAATCCCACTATGAGGAAGAAACCAGTCCTGTCTAAGTTTTGCATAACAGAACATTGTGTATTGTAGAAACCAACCAAAAATGCTCCTCCAAAACTCTGATAGGATCTACAAACCATCTTGCAAATAATGTCATTTGCCTCTGTGCTCTCTGGCTTACACACAGCGAAAACCAGCTATTTTTCAAACATAATTAACCTTTGTTTTGTGTCAGGTGGCATTCAAACAGTGTCTTGGGAACCTGCATACTTCAAAGCTAGCTATTAGGCAGTAGGGCTATAAAAGCCATTTTGAAGACAGAGATAGATAGTTAAGTAGCTTGTAAACCTAAACATTTCCATAACCAACAAACATCAGCTTGCTACACAAAACTTGCGCACTGCTTCCAGTAAAGACAGTCGTGTGGATGTTTCTGTGCTCAAGCGCCACTGGTGAAATGTCCAGGTATTCAGGATGCAGAGAAAGAACTTCACGGTAATTTTAACCACAGAAACACAAGACTAGCAAAACATTTTCAAAGTAAGTACTGCCTTCTGTATTCTGTTTATCCATTAACACAAGTGAAAGTACACAGTCTGTGTGCATGCTTCTCTTCATAATTTTAAGTTCTGAAGCATATGTGGCTTGCCTGGAATTTAGTAACTTTGCTGGTCATTGAAACAAGTGACTATTTATTTAAACAGATATTTAGAATGCAACAACAGGTTTGTTTGGTTGGTTTTTGTTTCTTTCTTCCTTTCTTTCTTGGAATAAACACTATAAAAATCCAGTTTAAGAACAGCACAAATAACACTAATTGCCCATTATCATTTAGATAGATAAAAAATTGCAATAGCTTCTCCTTGTTGCTTCCCATACAAATCTTATTAGTTATATTCTATCACCCTTCCTGTAAAATCAACACACCAGATGCTCTACTTCAGGATAAGTGTACTGGAAAATTTTCCTTTTATTATGTCAACGCTTCTTCATTTGGAATCTGTTCTGCCAAATGCATGCGGCAAGGCTTCACTGTGAACCAGAACAGACTTCAAGTAACTGCTCTAACAATGAATTATGGAATTCTGGTCTTCAGTCTGGCATCAGAATGGATCAGATGCAAATGGCCCCAGTTCTGCCACCTGGACACAAATGCACAGCCTGTAACACAAATGTGCAGAGGACATTGCCACTGCCGAAATGCCTTACACCAGTTGCCTTGCTCTCCAGTGACAATCCAAAATGCAAAGCAACACCAACAAAATTCACTGAGTAAGTTGATTCTGGGGGTAAATACAAACCACGATTACCCATAGTTCTTCAGAAACAGCACAGCAAAAAGTTACTCGTTCTGTTTCCTACGGAAAAAAGGCTTCTGTGAGCAGCACATATGCTAACCCCTGTAACTGCTGGTCACTCAGCTCCTCCTTTTTACTTTCACAGCCACCAAGCCAGTTTTAACTAAATTTAATGGAGTCAGAGAGGTCTCAGAAGTCCATTCCTACTGGTAGCATGAAAAAAGCAGCCAGGCGAGAAGATCTCGGAAGCATCCCAACAAAGGCTGAACCACCAGTAGATTAAACGTTATTAGACAATAGAAACATCTCTTACAAATGCTCTAGACACAGGAAAAGCTTCAACTGGAAAAATACAGAAATAGCTTGAAAACTAAGTTTATTTCTGTCAGCCAGCTATGAAATTATTTTCTTCATTATTAGTAACAGAGAGATGAGTGTAAAGTAGGTACTTGTATATGCAATAATACACAAACCCAGACATTTTCTGGAAAACGTTAACAACCTTTAAAAGGACAACATTTTAATTGCTCTTAGAAGGTGATGATGACAGTTATTTACCATTCCACACTACCGTGCTTACTCACAGCTTTTACCTCTGTTTTAGGTGGCAAGTGTAGTGCATTAGACCATCCCAAGCTCTACCCACATGCTGTGACTGGAACACAGCAGGGTGACTTGTGCCTCATTATTCTTTTAGGCAGTCCAAGCCCCCTCATTTCAACTAACTTAAAGCTGTTATGTGTGATGGGGGAAATCTTGTGGTTGTTAATTATCTGAGGGGTTGTGGGATTAAGTGTACCATTTTACTGCAGATAATTTTAAAGATGCTATTTCTGTGCTATGCAAAAATAACCTCTTTAATGCTTTTCTGCTCTTTTTACTGGCTTTGTCACAACATTTAATAAACTCTGTTCCCATAGCTCTGCTGACATCAACAATGATTCTGATGCACAAACAATGAAGTAATCAAAGAGCTATTTTAATTTTAGCTCTATTCAAACCAAAAGAAAATTCAACATTTTCCAGATGCTAAGAGAAGTGGGTTTGCTAACAGTAGCAAGCCAGTGACATTTTAGATCTCTAGCAGGATATTGCTACCCTGAGCAAGCAAACAAAAAAACCCCCCTGTAATATGAAGGAGCTGTCTACGACCTTTTAGTCCTTAGGTTACAGTTTCGCAAGTTAAGGCAAGTTCAAAACAACATGAGAAAACACTAGGTAGGACGCAAAATACTGACTAACAAAACAAAAAAGAAACAACTAATCAAGGCTGTTGTTCAAAAAAACAGTATTCAAAAATTATGCCTAGAAAAGACTGCAAGTTAAGTACACAATGCAGAAAGAAACTTATTCTCTTGTCATTAAGTCCTCTATTCAATTACCATTTATTGGAGTAATTAAACACTGGGAAAGGATGCCAGGCTAATTGTTAGATTATGATAATTACACAGCTTTGCTGTGCTACAGCTGATCAAAATAAGATGTGGTCACACGCACTCAGCTAAAGCTTCTCTGCAATCATCGGGCTTCCATGGGAAACTTATTACTATAATAAGGCCACTTATTACTAGTTCATTATCAATCAGGCAGAGAAACTTATTATTTGTAACCTTCGCTTTACTCTCCCACCCACTCTGCCGGAACAAGCCTCCCAAAAGGTTGCGCCCAGGTTTTGGCCTTTGGCTGGCTCCCTTCCAGCACAATTACACAGCTGAGCAGAATCAGGCTCCTACACTTAAAAGAGTTCATCAGACTTCAAATTACTGTTTCAAAACTGGCTGCAAGAGCCTATCACATTTCTGGAAAGAGATGAGTGATCTCCATGCGTTTTGCTTCACATGCATCTGTCGGAGATCTACCTTCCCCTTTCATTACTGCTACGTCCCTCTCATCTGGGAGGTTTTTCACACTACTTCAATGGGTCCAAAAGAAAAAACCCCAAACAAATGAAAATCAGAAAGAACAGAGCTGCATAAAGCTGGAAAAAAAGCATCAGTTTTACACGGCTTGGCTCCCTGAAGAATCTCATGCCTTTACCCTTCTTACCAGCCAACAGTACCAGAGAGACATTGTGCCTTCCTGTTTGGAGGGCTGGGGTTTTTTTCTTGTTAGGTAACAGGATTCTGATCAGTTACCATTGTATCTGCTACATCATACTGCCTATTTAAATGAGACAAACAAGTGATTTACTTGTTTGTAAAGTAATCTACTTACAAGGGAGTAGAACATGTGAAGAAACATGAAAAAAATCAGTTTGGGCTAGCACTTAGGTTTTTAAAGAAAAGAACTCGTTAAACACTGAGTAGCTCTGAAGAGTCAAAGAATGTTTGGCCAGAACAGAAGAAATGCACCAAAAAATACCAAACTCATAATAATTATTTTTATTCTGTGCTGATACAAAACCTAGACCTTTTGAAATGTCAGAAGCACCTATGCCTGCATAGGCAATTGATCTGGAAACTGTCCTTAGATAGGACAGGCCAAGGTTTACAACACTGGTAAAGTAACT